ATAAATAAATTATTATTATTCCTATCATTCTTCCTTCCAAATCATTTCAAAGCTGGGAGTTTTTCATTTATATATATTATCTCCCCTCTCTTTTTTTTCCCAAGAGATGACGAGTAAAATTCTTTGCCTAACTTTTTCTGTATTAAGTGGGCTACGTGTTTAGACAAATGTGAGTCTCTTGAAGGGCCACTAAATCATAGTTCTTTTTTCTAATTTGATTTAATTTTTTTTCTCTTAGCAGGCGAATTAAGGCCATTCACATTATTTGAATAGTGTTTTATTTCTCTTATTAAATCACTTGTCGGTATTTTGAAGTTCATCCAATTCATCCTCATTTTCTTCAAGTTTGTCTGTAGGACTGTCATCTGTCTTTGGGTCAATACTCCGAGGTCAGGAGAATCAAAATGACATTTCTTTTTCTTTCCTCCAATCTTTTGCTCTGGTGGAGAGAGGTCAAATTCTTTTTTGAGCTTCTTATAAAAGGCAATTGCTTTTTCTTCTGAGGTCAGACAGTGCCTTTGTTCTTTTATAAGTCACCATTATTCTCTCTGAACCTCATTTGCAGTCTATTTAGTTATTTAGAGGAAAAAGTATTTTCTTCTTTTTTTTATTTATTACTGTATTTCTCAGCCTGTAGGCGACTCAAGGCAGTTAACAGGGTAAAATTCAATGCTAAAAATGTCATAAATACAATTAAAAACGTAACATATAATAAAAACAAACAAATCAATAAAATATAAATTCATAGTGTCTCCTTGTGAAAAACGTTGTCTGGACTCATTATCTAGTCATTCCATTTTCCCGTGTCAGTTACTCTGCATTTGCAAACACTTGCTCAAAAAGCCACGTCTTGACTTTTTTCCGGAATGTTAAAAGGGAAGTGGCCAATCTAATATCTATAGGGAGGGTGTTCCACAGCCGAGGGGCCACCAAAGAGAAGGCCCTTTCTCTCGTCTCCGCCAAACGTACTTTTGTTCAATTTTACTGCAGGGAATTCTTTGAGTATTGCAATTTTATTTTCTTTATAATAAAATGGGGTCATACTATCCTCTTTTCCCCCCTGCAGTTTGTGCGCCTGACAAAGCATTCCCTGCCGCAGGTGGGGCGCCTGTGCCTGATCTCGACCTTCCTGGAGGATGGGGCACGGATGTGGTTCCAGTGGAGCCAGCAGCGGGACTACATCCAGGCCACCTGGGACTGTGGAACCCTCCTCGCCTCCGCCTTTGTCTTCCTCAACCTCTTCGGGCAGATTGGTGAGCAGGAGGTGGACTAGGAGCGGGGGGGGGGGTCTCACATCCACAGGGAAATGACCTCTTCCTCTTCCCCTCCCCCTCCCAGGTGGCTGCATCCTGGTGCTGAGCAGAAACTTTGTCCAGCTCGCCTGCTGCGGACTCTTTGGGATCATTGCCTTGCAGGTGATGCTCTGGGATTGGTTGGCTTTTGGGAGTCCATTCCCACTCTAGGGTCCCATGGTGGTTCTTCTATTATTGTTGTTAAGCAGATGGCCCTTGGGAGCCCTTTTCCACTCTAGGATCCCACGGTCTATTTATTATTTATTTATTTATAGTATTTATATCCCGCCCTTCTCAACCCGCAGGGGACTCAGGGCGGATTACAATGCACATATACATGGCAAACATTCAATGCCATTTAGACAAACAACATATAGAGACAGAGTGAGGCAATTTAACATTCCAACTTTCTGGCTTCATGGGGGTATGCTCGGTTCTGGCCACAGGGGGAGCTGCCGCTTCATCATCCACTTGTGACGCCAAGTCCTTGATGGAGTACTTCCTCATTCTTACGTACGCTGCTGGAAGGTTTTTTATGGTGTCATAAATTCGTAAAATTAGACTCCTTGCATAAAGCGCTATCTAAATTTCCTTCTTGACAGATGCAACTGTCTTTTGGGCTGCACAGGTCAACAGCAAGCTAGCCTATTAATGGCCGGGAGCTCACTCCAATCTGGGTTGGATTTGAACTCAGTAATGATTTTAATGCAGCTGGTTATTAATTAGCTGCTCCACAGCCCAGTCCTATTATTATTATTATTATTATTATTATTATTATTATTAAAATACAATATTATATTATATATGCACTTTCAACCCTTTCTGAGGCTGCCTCAAGGTACTTAGTTTCCTTCCAGACCTCTATATGTCTGTCTGTCTGTCTGTCTGTCTGTCTGTCTGTCTGTCTATCTATCTATCTATCTATCTATCTATCTATCTATCTATCTATCTATCTATCCTCTATCTATCTATCTGTCTGTCTGTCTGTCTGTCCACACACATATTTAGCACAGCAGGTTGAACTACCAGCTGCAGTAAGTCTTGTCAGTCGAAAAGTTTATAGTTCGGGTCAGGGTGAGCTCCTGGCCCTTAGCTCAGCTTCACCCTCTCTAGTGGTTCAAAAGCAAAATGTGAATAGATAAATAGTAGGCATGGTTAGGTCCAGACAGAATATTCGTTATTTAGAATAAAGTCCGAAAAATGTCCTTTTTGGAGCAATTTCGAAGTTTTTAAGAAAACTGGAAGTCCCTTTGCCCTTCCAAAGCTTTTTCACCATTTTTGTTACGACTCATGAACTGAGTTGGAAATGATCCAGCTTTTCCCTGGTTCTTGTCCCTGGCCTTGGCTCAAGCCAGAGAAGCCAGTTTTAAAGCCAGAGAAGTGAGTTATAAACCAGAGAAGCATGAATTTGCTCTGCTTCTGTCTCAAGCCAGAGAAGCCAGTTTTAAAGCCAGAGAAGCGAGTTATAAACCAGAGAAGCATGAATTTGCTCCACTTCTGTCTTAAGCCAGAGAAGCGATAAATTTCCTCCCTTTGCTCCCCACCCCCTTTCTGGAAAACAACTACTTTCAAAGTAAAGACCACCCAATGAAACAGGAAATAACACTTTCAAACCATTAACGAAAGGATTCGAAGTTTTGGAAGTTTCAAAATGTTTTGAAGTTTTTTTTCTGTGAAAATTGGAATTGACTTTAGAATCGAACCACCAACACCCCTACATCTGAAATGAGTTTTGAACCATTTTTTTCTCAAATGTACCACTTAAAATCGGGGAGGTATTTTAAGGCACCTTTAAGGAAATGTCAGGAAAATGCCAGCAATTAGACCAAGAAGGAAGTTTACAAACAAAGTTTTTCAGCAGGGAAGATGGAATGACAACTCCCCCTGTGGCCGGAACTGGCACAAGCCTCCAAGATGCCAAAGATGGGAAAGCCTCTATCTACATACAGTTGTCTGTCTTATCAGTATATAAAACGGCATTGAATGTTTGCCGCATATGTTTGTTCTATGATCCGCCCTAAGTCCTGGTTCTGCCACCGGGACGTGGCCTGGTGAGTAGCCAGTGAGCGAGGGTGGGTGAGCGAGCGAGCGTGGCCTGCAAAGGCAGAAGCAGGCTCCTGCTTCTGCTTCCACCTTGGTGGCCTTCCTTCCCTCCCTCGCTTGCTCATCTGTCCTCTCTCGCTTGCTCGCTACTCACCTGGCCAGGTCCCAGGGGCAGAACCAGGACTCGGGCAAGAGTCTACTATAGACAATACTATAATCCAATAATATAAATCATAAGATTGTTTTTCCTATGTATGCTATAGTCATAGAGCATTCAATTTTCTATAGTGGCCTCTTGCCCATGTAGTTTGGGGAATCCTTTATCTGTATTGTTTATTGCAACTCAGAACCAGGACTCGGCCCGGTGAGTAGCAAGTGAGCAAGGGAGGATGCGTGGGTGAGCAAGCGAGGGAATGCCGCAAAGGTGGAAACAGCTCTACTATATATAGCGTCCCTACTTTGTGGATTTTCACTTGGATGTAACACCCACGATAAGTATTCTCTTCTGTATTTCCCCTTGCAGACAGTGGCCTACAGCATCTTGTGGGACCCGAAGTTCCTGATGCGGTAGGTGCCCCTTGCCCTGGTCTTGCCTGCCTGCCTTCCCTCGGGCTCTGGGCCTGACCCTGCTTCCCTTTCTTTCTCTCTCTCCCTCTCTCCCCGAATAGGAACCTGGCGCTGGGGGGCGGCCTGCTGCTGCTGCTGGCGGAGTCCCGCTCGGAGGGCCGGAGCATGTTTGCGGGGGTGCCCACCCTGCAGGAGAGCAGCCCCCGGCAGTACATGCAGCTGGGCGGCCGCCTCCTCCTTGTCCTCATGTTCATGACCCTGCTTCACTTCGACACCGGGCTCTTCTCCGTGAGTGCACCTTCCTTTCACCCTGAGAAGCGATGCATCCTGCAGCTGGGAGGACTCCACAAGGGCCATCCAGTCCAGCCCCGGTTGTGCCTCCATGCAGAAGCACGACCAAAACCCTCCCAACAGATGGTCAGGCGGTCTCACAAACATGAGTGTCTTCATGAAGAAAGAGAGCTTTCGAACAAAACTCCTCGAGCTGGGAGGGCTCTCCAAGGGCCACCCAGTCCAGCCCTGGTTGTGCCTCCATGCAGGAGCATCACGAAAGCCCTCCCGACAGATGGCCAGCCAGTCTCACAAACATGAGTGAGAAAGAGAGCGTTCAAACAAGACTGCTAGAGCTGGGAGGGCTCCCCAAGGGCCATCCAATCCAGCCCCACTTGTACCTCCATGCAGGAGAAGCACCTCCCGACAGATGGCCAGCCAGCCTCACAAACATGAGTGCCTTCATGGAGAAAGAAAACGATCGAACAAGACTGCTAGAGCTGGGAGGGCTCCCTAAGGGCTATCCAGTCCAGTGCTGACCCTCCCTCCATGCAGCAGAAGCACCACCAAAGCCCTCCTGACAGAGGGTCATGCAGCCTCTACTTCAAAGTGGGGGGAAAGGAAGGAGCTTGAGCTAGATGGCCCTTCCAACTCTGGGATCCTATGGGATATCTGTCTTATCTCTCTCTCCACCAACTATCCAAGGCCATTTCTCTGTGGGTGGATGGCCGTCTGTTGG